CTTGTGGCTGAATCCTTCGTGGCTCCCAAGTCTCAGCTATGCTCTCAGGATCTCACTGAGAACTTCCCTGATTGTGTGTCCAAAAGAAGTACCTCTTTGTCAGCCCTCACTCTTTGTCTTGATATCACCCTTATTTCCTCTCCTTAATGGTTTAGCTAGTAAAGAATCTGCCTGCAATGCAGGAGAACCGGGTTCAATCCATGGGTCAGGAAGATCCCCTGGAGAAGGGAATGGCAACCTCCTCCAGTATTCTCGTTTGGAGAAGTCCATGAACAGAGGAGCCTGGGAGGCTATAATCCATGCAGTCACAAAGAGTGAGACACAACCGAGTGGCTAATACTTACACTATTTCATCTCCATACTCTTTAATCATCATGCTTATTCATTTACTTACTGTCTGTATTTTTCATGAAATGTGAGCTTGAGGAGGGCAAGGAGTTGTCTTTTTCACTCCCTGCTCTGCCAGGATCTTCTCATAGCATGGTGCCGACCCCTGCAAGGTGCAGAGTGAAAGAAGTAAACACACCTCTGTCACTGAGGGTGGTGGTGTTGTAACTCATTTCCAGCATCCCACCCTGCCAGTGGCCTTTCCTCATTTATATTGGCCATATCTCTTTAAATCTGCACCTTCTCCGGGGTTTTGTTGCTATCATTTGCATGGACTATATGACTCAGGTCCTGCCTGCTGCTTCTCAATTCATCGAGTTGAATGAAGTTAGTGAACACCATCTCTGTAAATAAAATTAGAAAGTCAGTTTGGACTCTCGGTGAAGGGAGCAGATTGTCACTGAGGAGGGTGAATTCCTTGTTATGTCTCTTTGGGAATATGTTGGTCGAATGGAAGAGTCCCCGGAAGGCTTAAAGAGCTTAAATATATGTATACTGTGCTGTGTTATGTTGACTCTTTGTGACCCTATAGACTATAGTTTGCCAGGCTCCTCTGTCCATGGGGATTCTCTAGAGAAGAATACTGGAGGAGGTTGCCATTTCCTCTTCCAGGAGATCTTCCCAACCCAGGGATTGAACCCAGGTCTCCTGCATTGCAGGCGGACTCTTTACTATCTGAGACACGAGGGAAGCCCTAAATATATATATAAAACTGAACCAGGTGGCTCAGTGGTAAAGAATCTGCCCGCCAAGCCAGGAAATGCAAGAGATGCAGATTTGATGCCTGGGTCGGGGCGATTCCCTGGAGAAGGAAATGGCAACCCACTACATTATTCCTGCCTGGAGAATCCCCATTGACAGAGGAACCTGGCAGCCTACAGTCCATAGGGTCAGAAAGAGTTAGACATGACTTAGTGACTAAACCACCACCACCACCCTAGGCAGTATGCTAGGAATCAGTTCAGTTCAGTTTAGTCGCTCAGTCATGTCTGACTCTTTGCAACCCCATGGACTGCAGTACACCAGGCCTCCCTGTCCATCACCAACTCCCAAAGTCCACCCAAACTCTTGTCCATTGAGTCAGTGATGCTATCCAACCATCTCATCCTCTGTCATCCCCTTCTCCTCCTGCCCTCAATCTTTCCCAGCATCAGGGTCTTTTCAAATGAGTCAGCTCTTCGCATCAGGTGGCCAAAGTATTGGAGTTTCAGCTTCAACATCAGTCCTTCCAATGAACACCCAGGACTAATCTCCTTTAGTATGGACTGGTTGGATCTCCTTGCAGTCCGAGGGACTCTCAAGAGTCTTCTCCAACACCATAGTTCAAAAGCAACAATTCTCCGGCACTCAGCCTTCTTTGTAGTCCAACTCTCACATCCATACATGACTACTGGAAAAACCATAGTCTTCACTAGATGGACCTTTGTTGACAAAGTAATGTCTCTGTTTTTTCATATGCTCTCTAGGTTGGTCATAACTTTCCTTCCAAGGAGTAAGCATCTTTTAATTTCTTGGCTGCAATCACCATCTGCAGTGATTTTGGAGCCCTCAAAAATAAATTCAGCCACTGTTTCCACTGTTTGTTTCCCCATCTAATTGCCATGAAGTGATGGGACTGGATGCCATGATCTTAGTTTTCTGAATGTTGAGCTTTAAGCCAACTTTTTCACTCTCCTCTTTCACTTTCATCAAGAGGCCCCTTTAGTTTTTCTTCACTTTCTGCCATAAGGGTGGTGTCATCTGCATATCTGGGTTATTGATATTTCTCCTGGCAATCTTGATTCCAGCTTGTGCTTCCTCCAGCCCAGCGTTTCTCATGATGTACTCTGCATATAAGTTAAATAAGCAGGGTGACAGTATACAGCCTTGACGTACTCCTTTTCCTATTTGGAACCAGTCTGTTGTTCCATGTCCAGTTCTAACTGTTGCTTCCTGACCTGCATACAGGTTTCTCAAAAAGCAGGTCAGGTGGTCTGGTATTCCCATCTGTTTCAGAGTTTTCCATAGTTTATTGTGATCCACACAGTCAAAGACTTTGGCATAGTCAATAAAGCAGAAATAGATGTTTTTCTGGAACTCTTGCTTTTTCTATGATCCAGTGGATGTTGGCAATTTGATCTCTGGTTCCTCTGCCTTTTCTAAAACCAGCTTGTACATCTGGAAGTTCACGATTCACGTATTGCTGAAGCCTGGCTTGGAGGATTTTGAGCATTACTTTACTAGCATGTAAGATGAGTGCAACTGTGCAGTAGTTTGAGCATTCTTTCATATTTCCTGTTTTGGGGATTGGAATGAAAACTGACCTTTTCCGGTCCTGTGGCCACTACTGAGTTTTCCAAATTTGCTGACATATTGAGTGCAGCACTGTCACAGCATCATCCTTTAGGATTTGAAATAGCTCAACTGGAATCCCATCACCTCCACTAGCTTTGTTCATAGTGATGTTTCCTAAGGCCCACTTGACTTCACATTCCAGGATGTCTGGCTCTAGGTGAGTAATGACACTATCATGATTATCAGGGGTCGTGAAGATCTTTTTTGTACAGTTCTGTGTATTCTTGCCACCTCTTCTTAATATCTTCTGCTTCTGTTAGGTCCATACCATTTATATTCTTTATTGAGTCCAACTTTGCATGGACTGTTCCCTTGGTATCTCTAATTTTCTTGAAAAGATCTGTAGTCTTTCCCATTCTATTGTTTTCCTCTATTTCTTTGCATTGATCGCTGAGGAAGACTATCTCTCCTTGCTATTCTGTGGAACTCTGCATTCAAATGAGTATATCTTTCCTTTTCTCCTTTGCTTTGCACTTCCCTTCTTTTCAAAGCTATTTGTAAGGCCTCCTCAGACAGTCATTTTGCTTTTTTGCATTTCTTTTTCTTGGGGATGGTCTTGATCCCTGTCTCCTGTACAATGTCATGAACCTCTGTCCAGAGTTCGTCAGGCACTCTGTCAAATCTAGTCCCTTAAATCTATTTGTCACTTCCACTGTACAATCATAAGGGATTTGATTTAGGTCATACCTGAATGGGTTAGTGGTTTTCCCCACTTTCTTCAATTTAAGTCTGAATTTGGCAGTAAGGAGTTCATGGTCTGAGCCACAGTCAGTTCCCAGTCTTGTTTTTGCTGACTGTATAGAGCTTCTCCATCTTTGGCTGCAAAGAATATAATCAGTCTGATTTCGGTGTTGACCATCTAGTGATGTCCATGTGTAGAGTCTTCTCTTGTGTTGTTGGAAGAGAGTGTTTGCTATGACCAGTGTGTTCTCTTGGCAAAACTCTATTAGCCTTTGCCCTGCTTCATTCTGTACTCCAAGGCCAGATTTGCCTGTTACTCCAGGTGTTTCTTGACTTCCTACTTTTGCATTCCAGTCCCCTATAATGAAAGGGACATCTTTTTTTGGGTATTAGTTCTAAAAGGTCTTGTAGGTCTTCATAGAACCATTCAACTTCACCTTCTTCAGTGTTACTGGTTGGGGCATAGACTTGGATTACCGTGATATTGAATGGTTTGCCTTGGAAACTAACAGAGATCATTCTGTCGTTTTTGAGATTGCATCCAAGTACTGCATTTCTGACTGTTTCGTTGACTATGATGACTACTCCATTTCTTCTAAGGGATTCCTGCCCACAGTAGTAGATATAATGGTCATATGAGTTAAATTCACCCATTCCAGTTCATTTTAGTTTGCTGATTCCTAAAAGAGTAACAGTCGATGTTCACTCTTGCCATCTCCTGCCTTGATTCATGGACCTAACATTCCAGGTTCCTATGCAATATTGCTCTTTACAGCATTGGACCTTGCTTCTATCACTAGTCGCATCCACAACTGGGTGTTGTTTTTACTTTGGCTCCATCTCTTCATTCTGGAGTTATTTCTCCACTGATTTCCAGTAGCATATTTGGGCACCTACCAACCTGGGGAGTTCATCTTTCAGTGTCCTATCTTTTTCCCTTTTCATACTGTTCATGGGGTTCTCAAGGCAAGAATACTGAAGTGGTTTGCCATTCCCTTATCTAGTGGACCACATTCTGTCAGACCTCTCCACCATGTCCCGTCCATCTTGGGTGGTCCCACATGGCAAGGCTTAGTTTCATTGAGTTAGACAAGGCTGTGGTCCTGTGATCAGATTGGCTAGTTGTCTGTGATTGTAGTTTCAGTCTGTCTGCCCTCTGATGCCCTCTCTCAGCGTCTACCCTCTTACTTGGGTTTCTCTTACCTTGGAAGTGGGGTATCTCTTCACGGCTGCTCCAGCAAAGCGCAGCTGCTGCTCCTTACCTTGGATATGGGGTGTCTCCTCACGGCCGCCGCTCCTGACCTTGGACGTGGGGTCGCTCCTCATGGCCACCGCTCCTGAGGATATACAAAGGCAAATCTTTTATTATTCCTGGGTATTCTGGTTATTGGCGAGAAAAGAGTTAACTACCAGCATGTGAAATAAATACTAATTCTAAACAAGAAATGGCAGCGCTTTACTTCTGTAGAGAGTGGTCATGGGGAAGGTTTGATGAGACGGTCAAGGCTGTGAAAGACAGAGGATCTAGGTGAGTTTGCTTGGGTATTTCCTGAAGCCTTAGCACTCTGTGCATTCACTGGGTTCTTTGTCCTTTCTAGATAGAGCCACAGAAAGCGCCTGTTGTCCTTTGGCTGCAAGGGGGGCCAGGAGGCTCATCCATGTTTGGTCTCTTTGTGGAACATGGACCTTACATTGTCAGAGAAAACATGACTTGTAAGTATTGCTTGGACTCTGGTTTCCCATGGAGAGTTCTTCCTTTGAACCTTATATCTGCTTTAGAAATAACTTAGTGTGAACAATGAACCCCTAGAAATAGCTTTACAGTTTCAGATTATGAAAATGTAATTTTCTGGCAGTGTTTGAAGGAAGGAGCCAACAGGGTGAGTGTCCTGACGGGGCTGCTTTCTGCCTTGAAATTTGGGTGAAAGGTTCCACGCTTTGTTCTGCTAGTCTACTGCTGACTCAGGCAATCCAGACTTATGAAAACATTTGGCATTTATTACTGTCTGGGTGAGACCTTTTGCATGGGACAAGCGGGTGGAATTATATCCCTAATTATTCATATAACCTGAATGGCGTACAGTTCAGCTACACAAATGATCAGATATCTTGGAAACAAGGTGCTGAGGGCCGCGGGAAGGAATGGAGAAGGAGCTACATCCAGCTCTAACCCAGGTTTATCTCCACCTCAGTTTTAGGGGAGAGGAGATTGTTTACTTTCCCCAAGTCAGAATTTGGAGGGTAAACCAGTTTGTGACTTGGTATACTTATGTACGCAATTCTGTTGAAATTGTGGGTCTCTTCAGTGTTGGATGGGAGGGAAGATTCTGGAGAATCAGAGGTTAAAGAGGATTCACTCAATTGGACAGATAGGTTTATTGCATGTGTGGGTGACGGATGTTTCTGCATGGGGCAGTCGCATGGGGTTTTGTTTGCAAAGCTCATCTTAGATGTAGACACTCTCTGGTTCCGGGAAAGTAAAGGAGAGGAGGGGGAGGAAAACAGCTGGCGTCTGTCCCTGCTGCAGGACAGACACGCAGGGCCAGAGGGACCGCAAGAGTTCCCCAAACTGGAGGGGGCAGTGGGAGTGTTGGGCTCCAAACCAGAGCTAGACGTCAGGTGGAATGTTTTGTTGAGGACTCAGTCTCAAGCCTCTTCTCTGCTTTACCAGTGGGTGCCAGAGACTTTCCTTGGACCACTACGTTTTCCATGCTCTACGTTGATAATCCCGTGAGTACCTGGGGTCCTGTGAAATGGCAGTGTTGGCCTCTCTCGTCTTTTTCTCTTTCATTAAGTACATTTATTAAGTATAAAAACACCAGATTTTTTTCTTTTTAAAATATAATTGTCTATTTTATTTTTTAAATAATTTTAAAAAATTTTATTGGGCTGCTCCAGGTCTTAGTTACGGCCTAAATGGGGTCTTAGTTGCCGCGTGCAGGATCTCGTTCCCTGACCAGGGTTCCCACCTGGTGTCCCTGCATTGGGAGCACTAAATCTTAGCCCCTGGAGCACCAAGGAAGCCCCTATAATTGTCTGTTTAAAAAACACATTTGATTCGATTTGTCCCACCCTTCCTTCAGCATTGAAACACATACATTGCCATGTGTAAAATAGCTAACTAATGGGAAGCTGCTGTGTAACACAAGGAGCTCAGCCTGGTGCCCTGTGACACCCTAGAGGGTGGGATGGGATACAGGCTGAGGGGGAGGTCCAAGGCGGGGACTTATGTCTACCTGTGGCTGATTCATATTGTCATATGGCAGAAGCCAACACAATAAAGCAATTATCCTCCAATTTAAAAGTTTTTAAAAATTGAGATTTAATTTTTCTAATATGTACCATTATATCCAAGTTTGGGAGTTTTCCTTGCTGCTTTCTCTCCTTCCCTCATTTCTGATCTTATGAAATGTCCTCTTCACTAAGTTATACCATCCAGGAAGGGATGACTTTCTCTCTACTGATAATATGCGTTTCTCTATAACTTGGGTTTTTTTTAATAGCATGGGAACACCTAATCTTTCAAATAGAGCTCTGATATAAAGAGTCAAAACTAGCCCCTTTCACGTATCACAGTGAGCTGAATGCCTCATCTCAGGGAGGGCAAAAGGTACAATTCTCCTTGGGAAGTTTTTATGAAATCAGATCATATAAACTGCAATATAGGAGAGTAACTTTAGGGTCAACTCCTGCAGATTGGGAGTATCTGTCCTCTAGTCTAACTTCTTTCACTTCCCAGATGGTTCAAAGAGAAAACAGAAAAATAGCAAGGAAAAAATCCAACATTCTTGACCCCCATCATGTTTTGTCAGCCATCTTCTTTCCTAGTCTATAACTTCATGTTTACATTAAAGTCTAATTAAATGTCCTGTTCCCTTGGCTGTTTGGAAAAAAATAAAAAATCAAAAATATTTACAACTGATGTATATGGTGGGGGTGCATTCCTTGTACATGTTGTTAACCCAAAATAAGTAGTAGCTTTTTCTGTTGATTTACTCAGTTGTCTATGAACTTCCAGGAATAAGGAACTATTAGTTTAAAGCTAATCTTTATTTTAAAACCCCTTATCTGCTGAAGGTGAAAGGGCTTAGTGGCCATATTTATCACAAGTAAAGAAATGGGGAAAAAAACTGGGCACACACACACAACTAGCTTTTATCTTCGGCCAGTAGAGAGTTCCCTCTTAGCAGGACAGAGCAGTGCACCTTCCAGGTTTCAGAGACTGAGTATTTTGATACTGTAGCAGGGAGCAGGAAAGGTGAGTTTCTCATCCTTAAATAATCATCTGGCAGGGTCTCCACTGCAGGATCAGAGAAGAGCTTTGCACTGCCAGTTTATTTGGGCTCAGCAGAGGGAAGGGGGACATGGTGACATGCAGCGTCCTTCTGTGAGCATGGATGAGTGCACAGGGGTGATGCTGAAAAGCTGAGGCCAAAGGCATGACCTTGGGAATAATGTTGATTTCCTTCCCGTGTGGTGTCTCTCAGCAGGATGTGTGTTTCTCTCTGTTTATACCTGCTTATTTACTTCCTCTTCAGGTGGGCACAGGTTTCAGTTTTACTGACCATGTCCATGGATATGCGATAGATGAGGATGACGTGGCCCGAAACTTATACAGGTAAAAGACCCTGGCTTTCTTTTGGCCATCTTCAAACCAAATGATTTTCTACTTCAATATGAAAATTCCTCCAGTAGTAGAAGTATTATTGATTGGTCATCATAGTCCAGTTCCTGAAGATCTTGTAAGAATACTTCTACGTGAGGAGTGCATGCACGCGTGCACACACACACACACACACACACATGGCCTGTTTTCCATTTTGTTATAATTGATAACTGTGAAGTGGCCAGCAGAGAAAGTAGCAAGAAGAACTGATATCTTAAGGTGTAATTTTGTAAAAATATCCTTTGAAAAACAATAGAAACAGTAGAATTATTCAACCAAATATACTTTTCCAACCTTTCAACTACCTGCCTGAGAGGTTTCTGCTTGCTTCCAACATTATTTATATATTGAACTTTGGATTTGCCAAGAAACAACATCTCAGATGTTTGTTTGTTTTCTTTCCCAGGAGTCCTTTTGTGGCCATCACAAAATACAGTTTTTCACTCCTGTGTTTCTCCTTCATGCCTTTTCCAAGCTGAAAGCTCAGCTTGCTAGCTAGTCTCTTACTTTTCCTTTCAGATTACAGAGTTATTCTTTTACACAAAAAATTAAGGAAGATGTGAAGTAAGTTGTAAACCTGATCAAACAGCATACATATAATATCTTCCTTTCTCTTTTCTTACATTCATTATAGCTATTTTTAGTACATTTTCTTAAAGTGACCTTTCTTATTTGGTGATTTTGTTTCGCAGTCTGTAAATTATTACTAGAGACCAGGTCCTGGATTCTTTCCGATCACTAGGGCCCTCCCCCACCCCACCCCCAACCCTACGCATTGTAATAATTTGCTAAAAGAATCCTAGTCGCCAAAAAGAGTTAACCAGCTCCTCTATGCTGCCCCTCTATTTTCACCAAACACCCCGTCTGCTAATTGGTGAGCAAACCCAACCAATCCCCAAAGTGAAAGTGAATCTAATAGGAGTCAGTGTTTTTTGATCTCTGACAAAAGCTTTCCGTTTTATTCTTCTTTCTCCCCAAGGCGATGGTTGGGAGGGGTGGGGGCAGGGAAGAGGAAAGAGGAACTTTTCAGCCTCTCTCCCAGAGAATGTTTCTTCTCTGCTGCCCCAGAAAACGACATGGCTGGTGTTTGTCTTGCACACTTTCATTCGCCACACGTCCCATTATTTTAACACGGTCACTCAATCTCCAGATGAGCTGACTAGGACCCACACTTCTGCTTCCAGATCCTGTGGGTCCTTAGCCAGATCCTGGCAGGGGTCCCTCCGCTGCCACCAGCTCAAACACCTCCTTTTCCGCGCCACAGACATAATCCTGACGGCAGTCCTTACAAGTTAAGTCAAGGGCCACGTCTTCCTCATTCCACAGTCATAGTACTGACTGTGAGCTCTCATTTTTCAGGTCGGAAACCTACATCCCCCATACCCTCCTCCTCCAACCCTTTTGGCTTAACTCCAAAAACCCTCAGTTGTTTAACTAGCAAACACCCTGAGGGCGGAGGGTCTGTATTAAAGAAATACATCAGACCCTCTAAGCCAGAGCCTTGCACCCTGCCCTTCCTCTTCTGGCTCTCCCGCCCCTCCCCCAGGGATGGTCCCAGCTTCCAGTTGCCCCTCTGAGTGGATATTTACTGCTGACATGTGGTTCATCTCCTCTTGCAAGACATGTAAAGAGAACCTATTTCAAAGCATCCATTGTTTATAGCTGTTTTAGTTCTTTTTGCTTCAGGCTCTTAGAACTGGAAAATAGCTAATCAAGGGTAGCGCAGAAAACTGATTTCAGCTGTTTCCTTTATGGTTTATACTATTTGTTTCCCTTTGTGACTGTACTCTTCTCCCCAGCTGTCCAGATGGGTGTTTGGAATAAGAAGGTCGCTTTGAAACCTAAAAACAGGCTACTACAGGTTTAAAGAGTAGAACTTTCTTTTTCTCCCTTTAAAAACCATTTTTCTTTTTTCCTGAAAATCCCATTCCATTTCACTATTATTAGTGCACAGCTGAGAGGAGTAGATTCCTAAAAAGACATTTGACATTTACATTTAGGCTGCTTTTCTGTGTGTCTGGAAATGAAACTTTTTCCACAAACAAGATGTTTAGACTTCTTTTCTTTTTTTTTGCTCTGTTAGTCACTCAGTCACGTCTGACTGTTTGCGACCCAATGGACTGTAGCCACCAGTCTCCTCTGTCCATGGAATTCTCCATACAAGAATACTGGAGTGATTAGCCATTCCCTTCTCCAGGGGAATCTTACCAACCCAGGGATCGAGCTTGCGTCTCCTGCATTGCAAGATTTTTTCCATCCAAGCCACCAGGGAAGCCCATTGCTAAATAAAAAAAACTTCATAACAGTGTGACTATGAAACAGTTTTATATATTAAATTGAGAACAGCATTGAATGAAGGGTGCAGATGAGATCATGGCCCGGCCATACTAGATGTGGAATGAATGAATACTGAGGATAGCTCCCCATCTCCTGCAAGAGAACAAAACCACTGGGATCCTTGTTGCTATGCTTCTTTCAGCCAGGCTATCAGTGACTAAAGGTATACGTTGTCTGGCTTTTGTTGGTATGGAGCTTTTGCTGAGATTATTTTAACCTCAGTTATCCTGAATGTCTTGTATTTCTATGACCCTGACATCACTAGAGCTGACCAGAGTCCAGAGCTGTCCTTGGATCTGTAATGTGTTACCATTTGCATCTACCTTCTCTGCCCTGGGAGAAGGAAATGGCAACCCACTCCAGTATGCTTGCCTGGAAAATCGCGTGGGTGGAGGAACGTAGTAGGCTACAGTCCATGGGGTCACAAAGAATCGGACACGACTGAGCAACTTCACTATCTCTGTCCTGAGTCCATCTTCTCTTTAATAAAATTATCTGAGGGGTGGTTTCTCCTGATCATTCAACCTTACCTTCTGTGTTTCATCCTGTTGTCCCTTAATGTACCTTTCTGCCACTGAGTAGCCTTTCACTAAAATTCTACTTATTTGACAAGGCCTTGACACAATGCCAGCAAGGTTCCAGATGGAGAGACATGGAAGAGAGAGATGCTTTGTGTGCCCTATAGCTCTTGTGCCTGAATAAATGCATTGAGTGCGCGTGCACACATGTGTGCACACACACTCACACACAGACACACACGTATACTATGTATTAGGTTGATAAAAAATTTGCTTGTATTTTTCCATAACATCTTACAGACAAACTCAAATGAACTTTTTGGCCAATCTGATATTATATGCTTTAGCAGTTGTACTTCTAAAGTTTGCAGTTTAATGTGAGGGTGATTCTACTTTTGAACAACCCTTTACCATGTAATGGTCTAATCCTTGATGAAAACACAATTCAGTGAACAAATGGCATATGTACCTGCAACTTCCCAAATTTACCTTTTTCATTCCCATTTAAGAAAGACCTACTAAGGCATTTCTATGATTAGCCAAATTTTTGTTCAGATCCTACTGTAAAATTAAAATTCCGTGATAACTTCCTCAATTGGGACCTTGCCTTGGAAACTTCAACTAGAGAATCCTTTTTTTTCAAGCTAGAAGTAAGCTGGGAGATTATCTCCTTCAACTAAGATTGCCAGATAAAATACAGAATGCCAGTTAAATTTGAATTTCAGATGAACAGTGAATAATTTTTTAATCTAAGTATGTCCTGTGCAATTTTGGGGACAGACTTATACTAAAATATTATTTGTTGTTTATCTGAAATTCAAATTTAGTTAGACATCTGGTATTTTATTTGCTAAATCTGGCAACTCCAACAACTTTCCAACAAATTCTTGAAGGAAATAAGTTTTAAGCTAAAGCACAAGGCTTAATTGAGATTTACTATATTAAATTGTCTATTGCCATTCCAACTAGCAGGAAGAGAGAAAGAGAAGTAATTTTTAGCCTGAAGGTTAAAGAGGCAAGGGTGGAGAATAAACTCCTATTTTTGTCTCAGCTCTAAAGGCAGCGAATTGCCAGCACAAACATGGAGGCTATGTAATGCACTTTCCAGATTTAGTTGCTACAAAGATTTCAGTTACTATAAATAATAAATAAATACACTGAAACTCTACAGTAGAGTTTAATGTTGGCTTGTTTTTTTTTTAAGATTTTTTTATGTGGACCATTTTTAAAGTCTTTATGAATTTGTTACAATATTGCTTCTGTTTTATGTTTTGGTTTTTTGGCTGTAAGGCATGTAGGATTGTAGGTCCCTGACCAGGGATCAAACCTTCACCCCTTGCACTGGAAGGAGAAGTCCTAACCACTGGACCACCAGAGAGGTTCCAATGCTGGAATCTTAGTGGAGACTTTGAAAATTAAGTTATCGCCAGGATTGTGGTGATTGTAATGACCCAATTTTGCCTCTGTGTAACCCTTGAACTTTCTGCTCCTGGTTTTTCAGGGCCTCCTTGCCTTTCATCTTCACTGGCTAGTTCACAGGCTTTTAGTCCCTCAGCAGGATACTGGAACAAAAACCCTACCCGGCTTCTCAGGCATTGCAATCTAGGTCAAGACATTCATAAGGCTTCAGAGTTTCACAAGTTTTTGTCTCCTTTATGAAAGATTCTGTTCAAGTAGAGAATCATTCAATAATCCACCCTTTTCTTGCTTGGTATGAAGTAATTTCTTGAGTCTGTTTAAATCTATTTCAGCATACCAAAGTGGCTGTTGGCAATCTTTAGTAAATGTGGATATTTTGAGCCCAGAGGCCACTTTGCATTTACTTCCATAACTGTGGGCATTTGGTGATTTTCCTTTAGACTGTAGTCATTTTAGGGGGCTTCCCAGGTGGCTTAGCAGTAAAGAATCCACCTGTGATTGTAGGAGACACAAGAGACATGGGTTCGATCCCTGGGCCAGGAAGATCCCCTGGAGTAGGAAATAGAAACCCACTCCAGGATTCTTGCCTGGAAAACTTCATGGACAGAGGAGCCTGACAGGCTACAGTCCATGGAGCTGCAAAGAGTCAAACACACCTGAGCGACTGAACACATACACATCTAGTCAGTTTACAGTTTTTCTGTTCTTTGGTTATTAAAACACTGAAATTCTAGGGAACCCATTAGAATATAGAAATGTTCAGTGTTCCCCACAGAGAGAGGTTGGTAAGCAACTGAGGTTCCCATTCCCACAAACTGAGGTTAGTGGGACTATAATGTTTGTAGAACTAACTCCACAAATTGCTAAATGATAGGTGAAAGCCTGTGGCACTTTGCCCAAGGGTCCCCTCAACAGGCAAGTGATTCAAGTTGGTAACCCAGGGATTTGGAAACCTTTCCAGAGTGTTGATGTTCACTTATATGAACTTCTGAGTATCACGGAGCAAGCCTACAAGTATTTTTCTAACCATCCACAGCGAATGGAGTGTCATACACTCATGAGACTTTGAAACAATACTTCCAGAAGCTTATAGCATAATGGTATCTTAATTCAATGCAAAACCTCTTGTCTAAGGGTGAAACTGGGTAGTATAGTATGATTCCATTTAATTTTTATTGTTGCTTTTGTTTTTGCAGTGCATTAGTTCAGTTTTTCGAGTTGTTTTCTGACTATAGAGACAATGACTTTTATGCCACTGGGGAGGTAAGTTGAAATCATGTTTTCTTGTGTGCTTCCAACATCATCAGGACTGGAATATATTATGACACCTGTGGTTTATTCATTTAGTGTGTACACACACATTAATATTAATTCAATCCATATAAAAAATTCTCAAATCATTCCCTACTATGTCTGAGGCTTTGGACAAGTATTAAAAATTCAGTGAGGAATAAGACATTAATTCTGCCATAAATCTGAGAATCTAATAGTAAATACAAAACAGAATGAAAAGTACAATTAGGAAAGTAGCTGTAAAGACAAGTAGCTTAAGGTGAGCAAATAGCTACCTCTCAAGATGTGATCCACAAGAAATGTCAGACAGAGGAGGCAAGAATTAAACTGGATTTTGAAGGATGAATATGGGTATATTAGTCAAGGCTCTTCTGCTTACAAGTGACAAAAACTGTATTCAAGGTGGCTTAAGTAAAACAGGGGATTGACTTGTTGGCATCAGGTATGGCTGGATCTGGGTGCTCAAACGTTATCATCAGGATTTTGTGTCACATTCTCTTGATCTAGTCATTTGGCTTTGCTCGTGACTGGTTTCATTCTCAGGTAAGTTCTTTTCACCTGTGCCCTCGCCTCTCCAGGCCACTCCAGAGCTCTAGAGAGCCTACAGGCTAAACTTCTCCCTCGTCTGAATTCCACCACATTTCTAAATCTCATTGTCCATTTGGAGCCCATGCCCATTCCAGGGGTCAGGGGGATGGAGGATACAGATTGGCCAGAATGGTGCCTGAGGCCCACTGCAATGCCCAGGAAGCAGCGAATCTTGAAACCTTTACACCTGAGCCACAAGCTTGAGAATGGGAGATGAGTGGTCTCCAGAGGAAGATCTGAGTGATGATACCAAAGGGAGGGCTGGAAGGATGCAAGCACAGACCACAGGTGTCCATTGTAAGGGTGTCAAAGTGGAAAACGGTCTCAGCTTTTCCAAGGGAATGGCAAGTTAATGGAACTAGGATCTTCCCTCTCTTCACCTTCTTTCTCCTTTTTCTAAACTGTCTAGAAAGGATATCCTGACTATTTAGCTTCTTACACTTAAGTCTTTCTAAAAGACTGTTATCTAGTTAGGATATTTTAGGACCTCTACCAGTAATTCCCTGCTGTTCCTTCCCTTTTAACCCATTTCAGAGGCAGCATGGGGAAGGGGGAAGGAAGTGACACCCCTGTCGTTTTGGTAGCAACCTTGGAAAACAGCAGAACAATCTGCTTAGAGTGTAATTCCTTGTCTTGTGAATAATGTGACAATGTTGTTAACCGTGATGTTGAACTTTTCAGCAAAGCTGCCAAATTTTCAATGAAAAACTTGACTTGTCTACTTCATGTCAGTCTGGTGGTTTCACGCATGTAATTTCTGAATGTGTGCAGGAAAGGAGAGTTTTCTTTTTACACTCTCTGCTGCCGGGATGAATACTTTTAAGGAAACCTGTGCCTTCAGAGTGATGAAGGAAGGTGGGAATGAGGGCGGGCAGGGGCTAGGGTGGAGACGCACTTGCCAGGCAGCAGCATCTCTGTAAGAACCATGCAGGAGATGTTAAATCAGGGGCACACCTTTTTCTAGAAGGAAGAGCACTCAGTAGTGCCTGATGGTTTATTATTTGCAGAATGTGGTGTTTCTCTTTAGTTTGTTCCATCTGGTCTTCTGTTAAGGCTCGGAGGAAGAATGGAGAAGTGGAAGGAATTCTGCATTATTAGGAGACCTGAGGTTCATTGCTGGCTTTGTCTCTCTCTGAATGATTCCAGACAATTTCTTTAACTTCTCTGGGCCTCTGAATTTCATCTTACAATCAGAAGGGTTGGTTTTTAAATTAGATCACTTCCAGGGATATTTTGCTTTACTGGATGTTCAACCCTAGTTACCTAGACATACCTTTAAAGCATCTGTATATAAATGCAGTTTTAACATAATACCAACCCCACCCTCCCTGTTGCCACTGTCAAAAAAAAAATGTTGTAATAGATTTTTCAAGAAAGGGAAATCTTTTCTCTTATGAACTCTTAATTTCTTCATACTTTTGGGAGAGGTTGAAAATAATGCTGCTAGATTTGTAGAACTGTTCTTGGAAAAGAAATGCATAAAGTCAGAAATGGTTTTCTGCTTCTCATTGCAAATGTGAAAGTGTTAGTTGCTCAGTCATGTCAGACTCTTTGCGACTCTTTGGACTGTAGCCCACCAGGCTCCTCAGTCCATGAAATTCTCCAGGCAAGAATACTGGAGTAGATATCCATTCCCTTCTCCAGGGGATCTTCCCAACCCAGGGATCAAACCTGGATCTCCCACAGGCGGATTCGTCACCATCTGAGCCACCAGGGAAGTCTATTGCAAATGTACTGGACCTAAATATCTTCCACTTTTGTGTGCTGTGAATGAGAGTAACCTGTTGCTCTAAGCAACTTGAGCAGCTGTTCAGTGCCCTGAATTTGTTGTAAAGGAGTCTGGAAGTAATAACAGTATCTTCTGTATAGGGTTGTTTTGAGCATTTAATTAGATAATCCTCCTTAAATATTTAACAGAGTGACTGGCTATAGAGAGTACCCAACACATGATGACTATTACTACCATTCATGTTGAAAAGTTGGATTAATATATTATTGCTTCAAAGCATATGGCCTAATGCATGTAAGCAGGGGCTGAGATGTTTAAAGAGCTCTGCTCACTTGTTTTTGGGGTGTGGCGTTGTCTCCCCTCTTATTTTGAAATCATCTGTAAAAGAAGTTGTTCACTTCATCAGAAGATGATGGTGGAGCTTAACAGCTTTGGATAGTAGCAAAATGCGTGTGGACCAACCGAGGGCCCTCACCCCTGCCGTGTGGACCATGGCGAGGCCACAGCAAACGGTATGGACCTGCATTTGAAGCAGTGGAGAAGGAAGAATTGCTTTGTCTCCTTCCCTTCTCTCCGCTTCTGCCCGGAACACCAACTGGAATTAATTTTCTCTAAAGAGAGACAAATGTGTCTGTAAATCACCCTCCTCGAGGCATGAAAAAAATGTACTTCAAAAAGAGAAACAAGCTGCATTTAATTCACATAATTAACTTTCTTCATAAGTGTTATCCTTTCTGAGCCAGTAACTATTAGTGAGATTGCTCTTTTTCATGAGGTTCAGACACTCTTTAGAATCCGCTCAAATGTACGTGGGCCCAGCTAGAAATTAAAGCAAAACAGCCCTGGTGCATGAAGGCAGGGAGGTGGCAGGAGGGAGGGGTCTGTCCACTGTCCTCTGCGACTGTGGTTTTCAGTCCACTCATGGGAACCAGTGCTTAGGGGCGGTTGTGCCAATGGGTGGGATTGCTTGTGAATGGCATCTGAAAAAACTGAGCATCTCTCTTTGATCAGCAGGAGGGGGGCTGCTTTCCTTAGAAGCAGTTTGCAGCCAGGGTTTATTTGAGGCAAAACTTTGAAGCTATTTAAAAATTAGCGAGCTTAATAGGATACTTTATCTTCATTCACATGAGCAAAATCCTGCTGGGTTCACAGAGTCTGATTTCTTCATTGAAATCATCATGTTCCAATGGGTTCAGAGGGGCAGGATCCCAGGAGTCAAGAGCCAGGTTGGCTTAATTTGTTTCATACAATACTAGGCACAGTGTTTAATGGATGTTATAGAATGGCTTCAAGCAAGGCATTTGCCAGATAAAATAAAAATATCGCTGACGCGTCTCTGGCTTTTTTTGGTCTCCCTTTCATGGTTCTTCTCTCCCTGTACTGTACCCCAGGCCCAGTGAACCTCCTTTCTATTCTCTTATTTTCCAGTGCCCTAACTCCCACTCTCAGCCTTCCTTTCCTTGGCTGTATGATGTGTGGTCCTAGTTCTCCCAGGCTTCCTCCATCCCCATCATGATTATTCTGTTTCTCTCCCCAGTTCTGACTTGTTACCAGCTCACTGTCCGTTAGAGAAAACTAAATTAAGCGCACTCCCAGCATGTTGCTGCTGCTACTAAGTCGCTTCAGTTGTGTCCGACTCTGTGTGATGCTATAGACTGCAGTTCACCAGGCTCCTCTGTCCATGGGATTCTCTAGGCAAGAGTACTGAGGTGGATTGCCATGCCCTTCTCCAGGGGATCTTCCTGACGCAGGGATCGAACTCGCGTCTCCTGCATTGTTGGCAGATTCTTTATCACAGAGCCACCGGGGAAGCCTCTTCCCAGTGTACTTGTCCTTGAATAGAGGATTGAGCCTAAGCCCTAGAAAGATGCTTGTCATAGGGGAATTTCAAGCGCTGACACGCCCGTAAAGGGGCAGGCTGGGAGAGCTGCCCCGGTGACAGGTTTATACTTGTTTGTGAAGGCCGCACCTTTGTCTTAGCCCAGCCTTGGGATCCTTGAATCGGGTGGTTAGAAGGGGACCTTCTGGAGAAGGAAATTGCAACCCACTCCAGTATTCTTGTGGGAAATCCCAAGGACAGAGGAGCCCGGCGGGCACACAGACGAGCTGGACACGACTGAGCGACTAAACAGCAACTAAGGGGACCTTCTAGAGTGTTCAGTCCCTTTGTTTGACTTATAGATCTTATCTGAGAATATTTATTGAGAGTGAACTTCCAGATGTTCAAGCTGGTTTTAGAAAAGGCAGAGGAACCAGTGATCAAATTGCCAACATCCGCTGGATCATCAAAAAAAGCAAGAGAGTTCCAGAAAAACATCTATTTCGGCTTTATTGACTATGCCAAAGCCTTTGACTGTGTGGATCGCAATAAACTCTGGAAAATTCTGAAAGAGATGGGAATACCAGACCACCTGACCTGCCTTTTGAGAAACATATATGCAGGTCAGGAAGCGACAGTTAGAACTGGACGTGGAACAACAGACTGATTCCAAATAGGAAAAGAAGTACCTCAAGGCTGTATATTGTCATCCTGCTTATTTAACTTATACACAGAGTACATCATGAGAAATGCTGGGCTGGAAGAAGCACAGACTGGAATCAAGATTGGCAGGAGAAATATCAATAACCTCAGATATGCAGATGACACCACCCT